AGTGAGTGTCGTTTATCGTGGACACAAAGACGAGTTGGATCTCGGGATCCGACAGCACGTGTTCGAGTTTATTGACGACCTTGGCATCGGGGAATAGTTCACGAGCTCGCGACTTTTCCTCTGTGGCTGATCGCTCAAAGATTGAGGCGAGCTTGAAATGCTTGGGCAGAGCCTGAATAAAGGGAATGTGAAAGACTGTGGGCATACAATTGAGGTTAGCGGCGCTCAGGATGGTTCTTGCGGCACAAGCCTGTGACTCGTCGTTGAAGAGAAGGTCGATGTTCTTGCTGATGTGCTTGTGTGCCTGACTGTGGCGCAGACTTGACGCGCTGACCGCATTTGTCCAACAGAAACAAAATCGGGCTCGGTCAGGCTCACCTGTAGCCGACATGCCAATACCAAGGACGGCGACATTGATTGGTTTTGAGGCCGACATGGTTTGCGATGAAGATTGTAAGTCTGAATGTGCAAGCTGTAGACTCATGGAGCATCAGCGCAATGAGGTCATCGGCCTACCTGCCAACTTGAAATTCTCACGGAGCGAAGCAAAGCGGTCTGCGACGAAAGTGCACTGGTTCTAATAACGTTGTGAATCGGTGTCAATCAGGGGTGGCTTTGCAACGACCTCCGACTTCGCACGCGGTCAGTCAGCAAAGACGCGTGGGGTTCTCCAATCGATCGCAAAAAAACGATCCGGCGACACGGCCCGACAGAAACCGAACGGCACTCCCGGTAGACAATTTTTATCGGATGAAAAGCGCACTCATCTTGATGTGACCAAGTGCAAGTCAAAGAGATCTGAGTTGCGACAGTCGAAATTTCATGTCACGTGCCTTCGGCCCCAGGCGAGGAGCTCGCCGTCGAGTGTCTCGTTCGCTCGCCCGTGAACCGAGACTCGCGTGCTCGTTCACCACGATACGTGACTTGACTCGCCGGTGACAGATCTCAGCATGTCCGAGCCGGTGTCGGCGAGCTCGCCAGTCGTGCTCGCGGCAACTCACTTCCCGTACTCACCATTGATTTCGGCACCAGACACGATCTGCCACAGTCAAGATGGACAAATCGCTGTCGTGACACGTGGCGAGCTCAACATCTTCGTGCGTCGTGCACTCTGTCGAAACCAGTCGCGTTGATCCAGTCTGACCCGCTCGTGCCTGTCGGTGTGCACCTCCAGACACCGGCCCTTGGCATTCAGGTCGACTCGGCACCACCAGCGACGCTCAAACTGCGAGCCAATGCAGTCAAGGTTGCTGCTGCTGTTGACGCCGAGGACGGAGACGGTGATATCGAGATGAACACGGAACGACAACAAGCAGGCCGCGCTTCGAACGAAGATTCGACAACGATACCTTTGTTCCGAACAAGCATTGCTGTTGAAAAGAAAGAGATTGTGCACTGGGGTGACTGGGTCAATGGTTAGCGTCGCAGTCTCGGGCTGGACGAGTGGCGCCGTGAGCTAACCTCTCAACATTCCACTTTTACAGAGGCCCAGATCGTCACGGCCGGGCTGGCAAAGGCAGAAGCATTTTGGAGGGCCGCAACCTGGTCACCCGCGGGTGTAGGCACTCTTGGCGGGTAAGTGACTAACGCGCCGACCTGCGGCGACTTATTGCTGATTGTAGAACTTTGCTTAGCTGTGCCTTGGTGGCACTGACAAACAACTGTGAAGTTATGATGCTCGAGGCGGCCAAGAATTCGCACAAAGGCCCATGGCTCGAGGTGAGCGCCGACTGGACAGGCAGCAGGCCTAGGCTAAGAAAAGGAATGTGCTCCCGACAGACTCAAGACTTAACAAGTCAGCTTGTAGACGAAGTGTTGACATGTGTGCTCACAATCATGTTCCTCTTGTTCATAAACCGTTGATACCTGACACTGCTCGCAGCGGACTTGTTCGAGAACCGCGTCTATAGTCTATCGGAACGATTGCGCCTGGCCGGACGTGTCTATGAATGTCAAGCGACAGGTAGGAGGACGCCGAAGCTGATGGAAATAACGCGTGCTGATTGCGCAATTATGTCGTCGATTACAGCTATCGCCTGGTCCAATGCTGTGAACAGTGCATATGGCGATTTCTCAGTTCTAGCTGTCGGGTATCGCAGTGGACATGTTGCACTCTGGAGGCGGGTCAGGGGTGGCTTGGAGCGCTTTCGTACTGTGAATGCTAATTATGGATCTCATGTCTAGACGGCTACTTGGTGGAAGTATGAAGCTCGTCCATCGTTTCCGAGTGGCAGATGATGCAGCCAGCATCATCAACCTGGAGTGGTCTCGCTGGTCGTCAATCGCACCCTCAGGTCGGTCGGGATGGTTCACGTCTCCGCGCATGTCTGAAAATTGACTCAAGATTGTTTGGTGTCAGCTGCTCGAAAACTCTCTGGGGCGTGCCTCGCGATTGCGGACGCTCGAGGCAACCTGTGGAATCTCGAAGTCTCGCAGGACATCACTCGACCACATCCGAACTTTGCAGGTCCGGTGTCAAGTCAAACCCAGCAGGCAGATCCAGAAGGCTTGCAGCACAACCTTGCGCAAAAGCTCTGTCAACCTGATGGACGTCTGGTGACACAGATTTGTTGGATTTCTGGGTTGGAATCTGTGCGTGCAATCCCGTACAGCGAGTCCGCTGGATCAAACTGACGGCAAGTCTCTGTCTCAGCCAACCCTCGTCTTTTCCAAGCTCGGCGTGGTCTCGGTGATCACCTTTGCTTCGTCGAGTCAATCGCCACTGCGCGACTTGCGGATCACTGCATCGACCAACATTGCATTGCAGCTTCAAGGGACTTGGATTGGTGCTACGCCGTATGCACAATGTTGTGGTCAGTCGGTGTCGCCAGCCGCTTGCAAATGGTCATTTACTCACGCCTGTCTGGATAGGGTTGCGTTACTTGTCCAAGTCTCGGACGGTCGTAGCCGCTCTTGAGGATGGATCAATTCACGCTATCATTCTGGATGACAAGCCTCAATTGGTGTCACCTCCAGACGCAATCGAGTCGTCACAGACTCTGACAGAACGAGCGCGACAAGTTTTCGAACAGATTCGCGCGCTGCGGATTCGATACAAAGGAGCGCAAGATGTAAAAAATCCAAAGCTCAAGGAGGGTCCATACGTCGGGGGCTTCACGCGCCTTCTTGGCCCAGGCGACATCTTTGCTTGGCACTTTTCGTGGGTCAAGTTGAAACCAAGCTGCGAGGCTGGCCAAGCTGATAAGGGACACATCTGCAGGTTGAATGTGCCAGAGTCTATTCTGTACGTGCCAAACGCGTCCGTCGCTTCAACGCTTGTGCTTGTGCAACTCTTGCCCGGCGGTACCGATTCTGAAGCAGCAATGGCCCTCATCGATGAGGCACTTGCAGATGAGAGCCAAGGTAAGCCTGGAACTGCTTGAGTAAATGCTTTCATGGCACTTAGCTAATTCTTCATTGCGATTCAGACCGCGCTTCTTTAACAAATCGCCTTATGCTCCCACTTCACCTGCTGCACTGCAATATCGACAGCGATGAGTTACTCGATCGCGTGTGTGCTGTGTCAGATTACGACGACATGCCGGCACCTGTGGCGGATCATGCGCAACTCACTAGCGGACAAGATGCAGCTGTTGCGTTTGTAGAATCGCTTCAGCGCCAAAGAAGTCTTGAACAGCTAGCACTCAAAGAAATACTCCTTCGGTCGGCTCTCGTAAGTGCTCTTGGCTTGTGTTCATCCGATCCTGCATTGCCACACGCGACTGAGTTTGCGCTGTTCCAGCGTCACCCTGATTTGCCCCCGAACAAGCAACGTGCTGTACTTGTGGCGCACACCATGATCGCTCGAGACAATGCTCGGCAAATTGCCACTAGATTGGCGTCAGTGCTTTCAAGGGCACAAAGTCTCTTGCAAGGTGCGATAGGGATGACGGAAGCTGCCGACTGCAATGCTGAATTCTGTGCTCTTCATTTTCGACTGCAGAGCGCGAATTGGCCATTCTCGGTCGCATTTCACTGGCGTCGGTGTCTTTGGTTCCGATTGACATCAATGCCAAAGAGATACTGCCGCCAGACGCCTTGTCGACCGCTTTCAATCAAGACGAGTCGTGCCCTGCTTGCACAGCGCCCGTCGCCCTCCTGAATATCCGAGATGCAGCCTGTCCCAACGGTCACAAATGGGGTTAGTAGGGCTGTACATGTCTTTTCGCTCCCTTTCCTATGTTGCTGACTGTGGGGCCAATGCAGAACGCTGCTCGATCACATTCTCGTTGATCGCTTCGACAGATGTGCGCACCTGCGTCTCTTGCGAACGCAAAGCTCTGGGATCTCTGTCACCTCTGTCGAATACGGATGCATCAGGTCAAGCTGAGCAAATCAAACATGACGTGGTCAATTCAATCTTGCGCGCAGCGACTTGCTGTTTGTATTGTGGCGGTCGTTGGATGCGCATTCGATAATGGTTTGGCAAAGACTGCTCACGACGAGCACTGTTTGCACCCCTTTCCTTTCACTTGTGATGTTGCTTGTACTTTACGATGCTTGAACTTAGATGCGATATTGTCAGACGGTCGTCCATCCGAGGTGGAACAGAAGTAGATCGGGTCCCTTGCACACAAGGCGACACGGAGGCCGAATAGCCTACAGTATGCTGGCTCAGAAGTGTCCCGAGAGCGTAACAATGTTCATTGGATGATGAACACGTCTCGTAGAGGCAGCTGGGTGATCACCTGGTGTCGCTGCGCTCGTCCGCTGCTGAAAGCCCTCAGCGACCCAATCAAAATCGTGGAGCAGATGATCACTCCAAGTCTGACACAAAGAACAGCCCGAGGTGCGCCGAGCGCACTTGCAGTGGGTCTCATGCGAGAAACAGCTGCAGAGTCATAAAAGGCGGTCGCGGGCTCCATGGGTGGCGTACGAGGCTCCCGACGGTCTTTTTGGGCTTGTCCAAGACTAAGGAGCTCAAAAAACAGCAATTTGGCGATTTTCTAAACCTACATGTTGAGAACTACTTAAGCTACACACAAACATGGCCGTATATTGCCTTTGTAGTCTAGCGGTTATGATTCACCCTTAGGGTTTCCGTAACATTTGGGTGAGGTCCCCGGTTCGATTCCGGGCAAAGGCCTCCTTTGCCACCATCATACGCCGCTGTGTGGGGTTTTTTTATTTTTGACTTATTTCGTTCTTTTTGTCCTTCGGTGTCCACAAGTGTTTTATTGCAAGATGTACGACATCGAGCTCCCCTTCCTCTGATGTAAGCGCTCCGGATTTCTGCGGCCTCGTTGCATCGCTCGCTAGAACTTTCTCACCAAGCCGCGGCTGTCTTGGTTGCTCATGTACGCTTCCCTGACGCTTTCAACCCTGTCTCGGCTGACCGGCTCAAGAAGTCGCTCTGCGGGCGAAAGACCAAACAATGGCGAAATCTGCGTCGCGCGTGGAGTTGTCTCGTTCCTTTGGGCGGTTGGCTGTGATGAAGCATGAGGCAATTTTATCAGTCGCTTTGACGGTCAACTTTGCTTCTCGATCATTTCAACACCGAAGAAAAGCGAACCGAGTATGATGCTTCGTATGTGAAAGAACTCTACCTCGCCGCACCATTAGCCAGGTTTTCAAGATCATGCCTGCCTGATCTAATCTGTCAGAACAAAGGTTGATTGTGAATTTCAACAAGGCGATCCTGAAGGCTGAACCGACTGACTAGCACGTCACCGTTCTCGAGACGTTCGCCTTGATTGTAGGTGGCACCCACACGATTGGGCCTACCGTGTCTCAATGCTTCCATGTCGACACCTTGAGCCCAGGCTGACGACGTAAACGGTCGCTCATGTTGGGTAGGTTGCGAAAAGGAAACATGCACTGGTCTGACTGGTTGAAGTGAGGGTGAAGCTACGTCTGTGTGATCTTGGGGCAAAGGCTCGCTGTACGAGCCTGGCAAAGTCCACTCTGTGCCAAATCTGACATTGCGAAGCAAAGGGCTTGCTTGGGGGCCAACTACTTCAGACAACAGAAGACTGAGAGGGTCTAGCGGCGAGGCCAATCGGTTCGTAGTATGTTTCGGTGAGTATCCTGGCGAACCGTAGATATTTGGTCGACTCCAAACAGCCGGACGAGCTTTCAGCGAAGGCGAGGCAGTCGGTCCGGGATGCGACAACGTTCCGACTTGCATCGATAATGCTGGTCGAGCGCGAGCAAGAACCAGCTGACCCAATTCCCCATCATAGGAGGATTTGAGAGAAGCTTGCGGCACCGCGAGTGTCAGCATGAACTTCAGTGCTCAGGACGACCGTTCGGAGTCGGACTCACGATCCGACAAAGTCCGAAACGCGTCCGCCACAGCATGGAATTTGACCTCGTATTCGCGTTGCAATTGTCTTGGTGCTCGATCAGGATGGTAGAGATTTGCCTGACAGGTGGATTAGTGCTGATGGTCAGCGAGCCTTTGTCTCTAGCGCCCGCTCGGCGCTGCTATTCGCTCACCAGTCGCAAGTAGGCCGCTCTGATGTGCTCGTTCGATGCATGGATGGGAATTTGGAGAGTGTCGTAGTGACTCATGGTGTAACCGTTGGTGGCTCGCGACCGTAGAAGTCGAGAGACGGAGAGAATGCGCAACCTTGCTTCATGGGGACGGTTGACTCCTTGCGCTGTCGAGGCGAAGTCTGCCAAGGCATTGCTCATATCAGGTTCTAGATATCAGACATGTTACAACGAAAGTAGGGCATACATGCACACCAGACACCGCCTCAGAGCCAGATAGTACAAGTCTTCGCAAATCAACCTCTTGTGAATTGCCCTGTTCGTTTCCGCTCGTAGAACATATCGACACGCGACGAACCAAGGTTGATGATCTTTGGACAGCCGTCTCGAGATTTTTCTAACCGGACGCATTCCTGTCATCGGTCGATAGGTTGCCGGGACAGAAGTGGCAAATGGGTGAGTCAGCTCGGTAAGCATGAGGTCACGGAAACTCTATGTCAAAGAACCACTCACAGCGCAATAGTATGCATCAGAAATACCTAAGAGAGAATCGACATGCGAGATGTCAGTGTCATTTCGGCAATTCGTGCACAATCTTGTCGACAACAAGTCAGCGGAACTGTGGCTCACCTTTTGACCCACAGACGATGCAACGACCACCGTATGTTCCAAAGTTGCATTCGTCACATACTCGTACGAGTTCTGCTGGTCTGACGTATGAATCACAGATTGGGCTGCACGAACCAGGTTGCTCAAGTCAGCTCGAGATCCTTCGAGCCAACGCCGAGACAGGGACTGACCATTTGCCATCGCACTTTTCACAGGTTCGTCCAATTGCTGTCAGTGGTTCAATGTCGCGAGCCGGCAGACGTCTTCAGCAAGCAGTGCAGGCAACTCGACACAGCAGCTCTCACTTACCAATACCAGGTTCTACCGAGACACAAACGATGTAGCGGAGAGGATGTCAGCTCTAGTTGCCGACAATCAGCATCTCGACAATGCCATTGAACTCACGCTTGCGGCACATGACCAGATCCGTGTGATGCTGTAAACCGAGGCGAAGACGAGGGTTGCATACGTCAGCTCGACGTTACTTGGCGTCATGCAAAACTCCAATCTGTGCTGACCTTTGACATGGTGTGCGGCGGTTGGGTGTGGAACGAGTAGAAGGGGCATAGTCCGCAGCACTCGAAAGTCAGTTGCGACAGCGCCAAAGCCGCCTATAGCCTCGGTTTGTCATCAACGATACTTGCCTTCGATATCATTCGCGTGTCTGATTCGAGTCAATTGGTCAAACAGCTCGCGTCATGTCGTCCATGTCACCCCGGTCAGGCGCCTCGACGCCGATCGACTCTGCCTCGTCCGTCGCAGGCTCGTTGACGGCTTCATTGCTCCGAGGTCAGTGGCCATGTGTCGACGAGCGATGTCATCACGACTGACGGCGATCTGCTCATGCTAAACGATGCACAGCCAAGCCCTATCGCTTTGCCACGCAGTGTGCTACCGTTGACAACCCAGACCCGTCGCACAAGGACCAATATGGCTCGTCGAGCGTGCCTATCTATCAAACAGCGACGTTCAAAGGCATGGGTGGACAATACGATTACACCCGAAGTGGTAACCCTACTCGCAGTCATCTTGGTGAGCGCTCCCCTCACTTTGCGTGCTCAGGACTTCTCTTCGAGTCAACCTGGCAAACCCCCGCACTCGGGTGTGAACAACTGGCCTCTCTGTACTCGCATCGAAGGCGATGTAGTCACGTGCGATGTTGAGTTCGCACTCAGTAGACGCAAATATGGTGACATGGCCTACTGCGTGCATAGCTTCGCGCTGCCTGACTTGGCAACACTGGCTACACAGGCCGCTCTTGGTCCAGCGAAAGCGATGGCGTTATCGACCGCGGCGTTCCTTTTGAGGCCCATGCGCGATCACTGTGTCGGCACGCATACCAGATGGTCCGGCCCGTTGCAACACAAACAAGCCTTGTGGATGTCATTACATGCTACGGACCAAAGTACTGACTTGCTTGCGTCGTCCCACCAGAGCATCACATCGCCAAAATTTCGTCTGCCCGACACGCTTTCGCCGTCACGTCCGGCATGGGTGCTTTGGACGTCATCTTCCGCCTGCTCAAACCAGGAGACTCGATCATCGCCGGGAACGACTTGTACGGCGGCTCGAATCGCTTGTTGACGTATCTCAAAGTCCACAATGGCATCAAAGTTCATCACGTGCCCACAACCGAACCGAAAGCTTTGTTGCCAATCTTGCGCGACCCTTCAGAGCGAGTAACGATGGTATTGCTCGAGTCACCGACCAACCCTTTGCTGCAAATCGCTGACATCGAAGCGATTTCAACCATGGTTCACGATCACGCACCTGACGCCATTGTCGTCGTCGACAACACGATGATGAGTCCCGCTCTGCAACGGCCTCTTGAGATTGGATGCGACATCGTGTACGACAGTGGCACAAAGTACCTCAGTGGTCATCACGACCTTATGGCCGGTATCATCTGCTGCAACTCGGACGAGATTGGCAAGGTGAGCGCTGCCACTAGTGTCTAGCACGTGCATCGGAACTCCTGTCACTGAGAACCACCTTTTTTTTGCAGCAAATCGGCTTCGTCATTAACTCTATCGGCAACGGCTTGTCACCGTTCGATTCATTCTTGCTCTTGCGAGGCGTCAAAACTTTGGCTCTTCGTCTCGACAAACAACAAGCTACTGCTCACCTCGTTGCCAATTACTTGCACAACCTCGGATTCAAGGTCAATTATCCAGGCTTGGCAAGTCATCCAGGCAAAGACATTCATGACAGGATAGCTTCAGGTGCGGGAGCCGTGCTGAGTTTCGAAACCAAGGATAAGGCTTTGAGCGAGAGGATCGTTGGCGCTGCAAGGTTGTGGGGCATTTCTGTCAGTTTCGGCTGCATCAATTCGTTGATCAGTATGCCTTGTCTGATGAGGTGAGCTGCCTGTTCCTTGATGTTGGAATCGCTTTGTTGGCTGATCCTCCTACATCTGCTGATTTCAGTCACGCATCAATTGACCCCAAAGTCCGCAAAGAGCGCAATTTGCCCGAAGATTTAATCCGTTTGTGCGTCGGTATTGAAGATGCTGAAGATTTGATTGATGATCTCGAAGCGGCTTTGCTCGAAGCGGGAGCTGTTCGAGTTGTTGACGAGGCAGGACCTAGAGCAAAGCTTGAACGAGTTCTCACTCAGGAAGAGAAGGACGACTTGGGCTTGACTGATGTCGTCGAGGATGGTGCATTGACCTCGGTGGAGAAATTGATCGTGTCGGCTCCGGGCAAGGTCATCTTGTTTGGTGAGCACGCTGTCGTGCACGGTGTTGTGAGTCGAGTATGCGTCGTTTGAAGGTCCGACAGTTACTGACAGTGCTACCACCCAAGACTGCCGTTGCTGGAGCAGTCGACCTGCGATGCTACTGCCTGGCCGAATCTCGAAGAGACGGGCAGGTATCGCTCGTGTTGCCCGACTTTGATTTTGAGGCAACATGGGACGTTGCAACTTTGCCATGGAACTCTGTCGACCCCACAACTGCAGCCAAGGCACCTCGAGCCGAATCGCAACCCGATCAAAGCTTGCTCGACGAGTTGACTCAGCGACACGCCAGAGGGGCTCAGCAGA